TTTAGAAAAAGGTTTTCAGTTCATTTCATAGGTATACCTATGAAATGAACTGAAAACCTTTTTCTAAATCAGTTTTTAATGCTGATTCAGAAAAATATAGTTCGAACCTTCCATCTTGCAATACAAGTACAAAAAGTCAATTTCATCAAAAAGGACGGTTTTTTGTATTTTTGAGGTCTTCTCAGTAATTTGAGTTTTACTCCACGAAGAAATGACTTTTGGAGGCTCGGAAGATGTTATTCGTAATCAGCTCGTTAAACTGGATCTGAATATGTATAATAAAGTCAAAAATAAATTCCACTGTAAGTTTGCATTAGCTGAACCTTACAAAGTATTCTGTAAATTAAAATCGTATGAGCAAGGGCCCAGAAAATTATGTATGGCATTTCATTGGATAGATCTAATGAAGGTGCATCGAAGGAGGTGCCTGATATTGTTGGCTTGCTCTTTGTCTCGAATCGGTAGTGCCATGTCTGTTTGGGCTGTTATGTCACATGGGAGTATTTTGAGCTTTCCGTTTTTTTCCGGACATGCTTAAGTTGTGTAATTGAGTTCGTGCACCATCTGATTAGTGTCGGTGGGCTGGTATTGGCTCGCTATACAGGTTCAGTGGCTCGCTTTCCAGTGCAAATACGTATGAGAAATACTCGAATCTGCTGCTAACTTCTCCTACATAAAAAAAGAATGTATGATCGTGGTCGAGCGAGTGTGCAATACAGAGTAGAAAACCACTTGAAAATTCAGAGTTCGAGCTCCCCGCTTGCCGATACTTATTTGAGTTTCTTTTTTCTTTTTCGAGTGAATTAGGACTCTCTTGAGCATGTCTCAACTCTCCGATTCTACGTTATCTTCTAACTGCCTTGAGCAAGATAGAGCTGGTGTTATTAAGTTGCACATTTAGAAAGTCCACATATATTTTTAAAAATATGTTGCACTAATTACGAGAGAAACAAGTTTATTATTGTTTTTGTTAGGCACTTTGAAAGAATTTGTGTCACTTAGTCTGACGAGTCCGTATCCGCACACGCCATCCGTGGAGTATATGGCTGTGTATATTTAACCAAACGTTTGCCTAATTCCTCAGCACGCTTCTGTTTTGCCAGTCTGTTTTCCTGTTTCTTGTCACGATATCTTTCATACGAACGTTTTTTTTGTGCAGCGATAAGTGCATCGATGGAACTCAAAGTTTCTTGAAATTGGAACGGTTCGCCAAGTTTTCCATATAGTTTTACCTGCATTTTCAATGCGTCTTCTAGATAGGTTAAAGCCTTGTCTAGTTCTCCCATATCACGGTGGATACTTCCAATATTCATCAGACTCTGAACTACATCATTATGTTCTCGAGGAATTAGTTTTCTTCTCCTTGCGCGTACCCGTTGATGATAGTCGAGAGCACGATTTAAATCACGCTGTTTCCAGCGAATGAGTGCGATGTTATTTAGACATTTAGCAGTGTCAAAGTGGTTCCCTGCACATGTCTGTTGTTCGATACTTAATGATTTCTCGTATTACTCTAATGCCTTCTTATACTCTTTTTTTTTGATAATAAAAATTTCCCAGATTATTTAATGTTTTAGCCGTTTCCCAATGGTCTTTGTCATAAAAGTTTTCCCTTGTATGTAACGCCCATTTAAGATACGCTTTTGCTTTGTCATATCTCTCTCGACATAGGAGAACAAGTGCCATATTTGTCAAGGGTTTTGTGTAGCAAATTTCTCTGCGACCTCGTAGGAACGACTTGTGGATAAAAACCATTCAGTGAAATCAACTGGTCTTGATTTTCTTTCAACATATTCAATTCTTCTGCTTCCAATTTTGCTCCACGAGAAAGAAATATGCAATAAGGTGTTGATTGTTGTTGACTTTGTCGTTGTATATCAGCCAGAGCCAAAGATAGATTGGCAATGAAAAAACGAAATATATGCAGTTGTTCAATATCCTCTGTTCTTAGAGCTTTGTTAACTAGTCTGTAGAGAAAACTTTGCTTTGTATACCAATGAATTGCATTTGCCGCTGTATAATCGCGCTCAGATTCATCAATATGTCTCTGTTCTTTTGTGTTACCTCGGTAATAATGACAACAGAATGTAATAAGCTGCTGCCTGGCATTCGCATCCCGTGCATACTGAGGATAACATCTTTGAACAGTTGAAACTAGAGAAATTCTGCTGAGTCTTTTGATAGATCTCTCGAAGTTTTCTCCTGTGTTAGATCATAGAATACAAATGCATCTAGATGTTTCTGTAACACTTCAACATTTTCTGTCAGAGCTTGAAGAAGTGCGTCCAATTCACTGAAGATAGCAATAATCTTTTCGAATTTGTCAGTTAAATTATGGTAACGGTCAATTTTTAGACAGAAAATAAATACGGAATCAATTTGTTTCAATAAATAAGTCTCGTCGAGTACATTTGAAGCATGTTTACCAGGAAGAATGAGTAAAATTTTTTCATTTACAATTGTCTTCACATGTCGAATACACCGCTGTTCATCAGTGTGAAACACGACATAGTCATTGATTTTACTTAGTTCTTCGACTGTTTCTTTGTGTCCTCTGTTTTTTCCATTCTTGGATCATACCAGATTAATGTTATACCTTCAGAATTCGGCGATGGTAGATCGGCTGCAGTGGTTGTGCTTAGAGCAGATGAGACTGTAGCAACATTGCCATCGTCAAGTTTCAGTTTTGCTTCGACGTCTTTGAACAACTGGTCAACTAATTGTGATTCGTCGGGTTCGCTTGAGTTAGACATTCTAAATAAAGGAGAAAAGTTCTCTTCTCGAGAATGATATTCCCACAACATTACCTTATTGCGAATAGTATCGAAGCAGTTTTTAGATATATTGCTGCTCTACAGAATATTCAGATTAGCACATTTTTCTTGCGTTTAACTTCCAGATGGCCTCACTTCTTATAGCAGAATATTGAAACTAAAAACGCGCATAAGATGATAAGAGATTAGCTATCTTCTTCATCTTTCTCTGGTGAGTAAATATGGCATGTTTCTTTCTTTATCATATCCACCTATATATTTTTTTGTTTAGTCAGCAGAACAAAAAGAACTTTCCCCTCTGCTTGAGCGGTGTTCTTAGCGCATATCTCTCGCAAAGAGAGACCCTAGCACACTTGAAATCAGCAGGACTACTCTGAAAAAATAGGCGCCGTACCGATCCTAAAAATGTTTTGAAAGTAACAACGAGTTCCGAACATTTTTTAAGATTCGGCAGCTTCTCACCGATCTTTTTGAAGAATCGGTACAGTGTACCAATCCATCGAAGGACCGATGA